CCGCCCCATCCGCGGCCGCGGGAGGAGTCTCCGGCCGATCCGCCCCGGGATCTGCGCCCGTCGGGACTCCGCCAGAAGCGACCCTCGAGCCTCCCCGTTCAGCCGCAGCGGGAGAGGCACACAGGGAAAAGCCGAGAAATTAGCATTGGTCGTAACCCGCAACGGGAAAAGCTGAGGAAAGAGGATTTTTCACAACCCTAAGCAGGGAAAAGTGAAAAATTCGCATCTTTCTTAAGCCTAAAGAAGGAAAGGACAAGAAAAGAGTGTTTCCTCATAAACACAAACAGGGAAAAGCAAAAAAAAAAAAATCAGTATTTTTCAGAACCCTAAACAGGGAAAAGTGAGAAATGAACATTTTTCTTAACACTAAAGAGGGAAAAGTCAAGAAATAAAGCACTTTTCTCACCCTCAAAATGGAAAAAGCAGATAAATGTGCACTTTTCATAACCCCGAAAAGGTAAAAGCTGAGACCCCACATTTTTCAGAATCCCAAAGTTCAGTGTTTCTGCCCGAGACTCAATTAGTCAATGTACAACAGGAGAGAACACACTGCCACAATCAAAGACTGACACGTCAGGGTAGATCACTGCTCTTATGTGTCTTATTTTCACCAAGCATTAGGCAGAGTAGTCAATATTAAAGGTGGTTTTAGTGAAGGTTTAAGTATCCCTGTCTGCTTTTGGAATTCTCTGTGAACTGATGTTATCTATAGCTTATCAGAGAGGATAGCTGGAGTTATCTGGATCTGCTCCCTGGAAGCTGAGGTGGCCTCCAAGAGCCTCCCCTGGTCCTGCCCTTGTTCTCCATTCCTCTGGAACAAATTCCACTGAAGCAGAACTTCCCTTTATCCACTGATAACATTTCCATTACAAAGTAAAAACAGGCCAACCATTTACAGGCCTAAAGTCCCACTCATGAGCTTTCTGAGGTGCCTTTAGAGATATCCATCCATCTGTCAGAGTTCATCCCTGAGGCAAAGAAAAACCAACAGTTACTGTTTGTGGCCCTCAGCTCCACAACAGCATCACACAGTGTTTACAGACACACACAGGCTCCAGAAAAAGAGAGAATAAAAACCTGCAAGTCCTAGCTAACAGAAAACACGCCCTGCTCTGCTCTGCCAAGCTGGTTTCTCCTCTTTTTACACAAACAGCATCTGCCAGGGATCCAGGGCTCGGTCAGCAAAGCCAGCAGTCAAGGAGAGCAAGCTCACAAGGACGGCTGAGAGGAAGGAACGTTCCTCAGGGCAGAGCAAATCTTTACCGAGGCCACTGCTTTTCCTTATCTGTCAGAGGGACATAGATGACTCCCATCAGTTGTGTCTCCACGATCTGCCCATCGCTGGTTTTGTCGTACTGCATCAGGACTTGGTTGGCTCCTTCAGGCCCCACGGGCAGGATCAAGCGCCCGCCCGGCTTCAGTTCATTCAGCAGCTGGAAAACACAGAAATCCATCAGCAGAGCCCACATAAAGGCAGTGGGAATAAGCTGTGCTTCCAGTGGTTCCCTATACTGGATTTTTTCCCAGCAGCTCAGAGGTAGAGGCACCCAGCACAGCCACCCTTACCTCCTTGGGTACGGTCGCTGCTGCCGCCCCAACGTGGATCGCGTCGTAAGGAGCCTCCTCAGGGTATCCCTGTCTGCCATCTCCAACTACAGGAGGGAAAACATGCAAGGAACACTTTTATTGTGATAACAACTCAAAACATCAACACAGACTGTACTTGGCACTGGTGAGGCACCTGGAGTGCTGTATCCAGTTCTGGGCCCCTTAGAGCAAGACAGACATTGAGGGGCTGGAGCATGTCCAGAGATGGGACTGGAGCTAGGGAAGGGTCTGGAGAGTCAGTCCTGGGAGGAGCAGCTGAGGGAGCTGGGGGGGCTCAGTCTGGAGAAGAGGAGGCTCATGGCAACCTTCTCACTCTGCACAAGTCCCTGACCAGAGATGCATCCAGGTGGGGTCAGGCTCTGCTCTAAAGAGATAAGTGACTGGACAAGAGGAAATGGCCTCAAGCTGTGCCAGGGGGTGTTCAGGTTGGACATGGGGAGGAATTTCTTCATGGAAAGGGCTGTCAGGCTCTGCAAGGGGCTGCCCAGAGAGATGGTGGAGTCACCGTCCCTGGAGGTGGCATGTGGCACTCAGTGCTCTGGTCTAGTTGACAAGGTTGATGACCTTGGAGCTCTTTTCCAACCAAAATGATTCTGGGATTCTGTGTGACTACTTCAAGGAGCAGAGCTCTGTGGGCAGCCAGAGCCAAGGCATTCCCAGAGAGATCAACCTCAGGGTCCCAGGGAGCTCACCCACAAGCTTCACACGGCCGGAACTGAGCAGAGTCGGATCATCTTCTTGGACATTCCGGATGGATTCGTGCACCAGCTCCTTGATGTGCTCCACGCCCACAGCTTTCCCCGTGGGACCTGTCTGAAAGGAACATCAAACACCTGACACCTCCCATATGGCACAGAGGTGTTTGATAGGGCAGGTTTTGGTGGGAATTGCAGAATTTCCAAGGAGAAACTCCAGAGCAGAGTTTCTGAACAGGAGGTGCAAACACTCTGCCCACTCCTTGGTCTGAAGGCTGAGTAATCCCAGTTATATTAGTACTTTAGAGATACACAGACACTGCCTACAGGGATTCCCAGTAATCCCTCACTGCCAAAAAAATCATTATTTGGTAGAATTAGGAGCCTCCATGGCAAGTTCTTGGCTAATTAACCACCTTAGTAACTCAAACTGAGTAACAAACAGACTGTGAGTAGTTAAGACCTGAACTAAAAGGAGCCTATAATAGACTTACACAGTGGATTAACACACAAATGCACACACAGCCTCCACTTGGATCCCAAAAATGTATTTGCCTCTACTACATGCTGCTTTGGAAAGTTTCCCCTTCCTCCCACCTCCTCCTTCCCCCACAAAAAGCACATTCCCACTGGTGCTCCCCATCTTGATGTGCTTTCCAAGCTTGGAATGGAATCCTGTGAACTCACCATCCTGGCAAAGCATGCAGTGAGGTATCCACTTCCAGATCCCACATCCAGTGCCTTGGCACCTTCCACCAGCTGATCCTTGAGCAGCTCCAGTGCATGGGCATGCTGTGTGGACACATCCCAGGTTAGTCTCCCCTCCTAAAACTTTTCCCTGTTCCCTGCTTTAATCACAGCACACCTGGCCTTGTGCCTGACACATCCAGACTGAAACTCCAGTGTCAGACCTGGAGGATCTTTTGGCAGAACAGAATTTAGAAGAGGCTCAGAATTTAGATGTGAAGCAGCAGGAAAAAAAGTCTCATGCAACAAAGGGACAACATAGAATTCCCATTTCAGCAGATTTTTTAAGCAACTGCAAGAGTATAGGGGAAACTCCTCTGAAAAAGAAAATCCCTAAAGAAAAAAGAAGGATAATAACTTCCATGGGATCCTTCACTTTTCTACTTAAAGAAAAATGAAAAATAAAAAGGGAAATAAACCATTTCCTCCATTTCTTTCCTAAGTGAAGAGTTTCACCTTACCATGTGTGGGGCACTGATCGTTGCCTTGTAGCCTGAAAGGAAATGGGTGACACAAGTTATTTGATAAAGAAATTATGATTAAAATTCCCAACGGGGAGTTCTTTATTCTCCCCCACCAAAACATGAAAACACTTGTCTCCTTTGATAGAATCATGGATTGGTTTGGGTTGGAAGGACCTTAAAGCTCATCTAGTCTCACCCACTGCCATGGGCAGGGACACCTTCCACTGGCCCAGGTTGCTCCAAGCCCCATCCAGCCTGGCCTGGAACACTTCCAGGGATGGGGATTTCACAACTATAGCATGGAACATGCAGACTTACCAAGGCACCTTGTGCCCCACTGTCAGCACGATGAGCCCAGCCAACATGCACACCCTAAAAATGGGGATTCCTTGCCCAAAGTGACTCACCAATGGATTGAGGAGAATCCATGTATGGGAAGTACTTGATGTAGTGACCTCTGTCCGTAGCCAACAGCACGTCAAAGACTCGCTGGGACTTAATGATCCCTTTTTCTGGGAAAGAAGGAAAAGAGACAGACAGGACTGAAAGCCTCAGCTCTGCAGCAAGGAGAGATCTGGACGGGGAAGCACAGTTCAGAGAAGTAGTAGATCTGGGAGAATTCAGCTTTAATGAGGGATGTGAGAGGGACAGAACACAAAACCACCAATGGAAGGACACCCATTCCCATTTCTGATACATTTCCAGCCACCAGCCTCTCTCCAGGGGGTGGTGACCTGCATCCACAATGTTTCTGGCACTGCCAAGTGTTATGGGAGAGAAATGGAATCATGTTTCACGCCAGAAACCAGAGAATCCGGATCAGGTTTCAGCAGTAAACTCATCAGCAATGACTGAAGAAACATCCAACATCCCTTCATGCCTTTCTGAGGGAATTCTGACAAGGACAAACCAGCTCCAGGCAGCAGGAGAAGTTCACAGCTATTTTTATGTGTTCCATCCCGCTGTCCAGAGTGGGAGCACCAGGCACCACTCCAGCCCCTGGGAGGCAGGGCATGGATGTCCAAGACTCTTGGCAGCACCCACAGGCTTGGAGCACTGAGCTGCAGCACTTTAAAGGGTGTCAACACACTTCCAGAGGCAGGGAAGGGAGGCGGGGAGAGGTTTTCCTGCCCCATCTGGCATAACATTTTGTCTCTGGTTATAAATAGAACGAGTTGAGGCTGGGACAAATGCCAAAATCCAGGAATATTAACCTCAACCCTTCAGAGTAGAGTGTCACACTGTGTAATGCTAAATATCCACACACTGACATTAAATATCCACACACAGAGATTCCAATGGGTCCTAACGGGACTCACTGTACAGGTTGTTGACCAGCTCCGGGTGTGTCTTCCCACTGGATGTCCAGGCCATGGTCCTGGCAAAGAGCAGCCCCATGAGTGCCAACACAACGCCAGGCAGCAGCCGGCTCATCCCACGGACACTGCAGCGGCCTGTGGGGAGAGAGAGGGGCAGCCGCCCCAAAACTTCCCCTGTCCCAACGCAACACATCCTGCGCTTGCTGAAATAGGGCAGAGGCTGAACGACACGGGCTGTAAGCCCTGCAGAACCAACGCCCCCACCTCGGTTACCGCTAGGATCCCTAAGGAATGACCTCAGGCTGCGGCTCTCCGCGCTTAGAAGGATCGATGGCACCTGAAGCGCCTGGAGACCTCCAACCCCCGATTACCGGGGCGGAGGG